CGCCCCTGGGGGCCCGGGGGCGGGGGCAGCGCGGAACCCGCTCTCTGAAATCCAGAATACGGTCATCCTCTCGCCAGGAGCCGGGTCGCGTGGGCACCGCGGGGGGCCGAGGGGGCGGGACAGGCAGCGAGGGCTGGGTTCGTGGAGTTTTCTTTTTCTTTTTCTTTTTCTTTTTTTTTCTGCACCCTGGAAATTCCCGGGCCAGAAAGGTACCGACCCGAGTCGCGGACATTCCCCACGACGGCCGGCTCCAAGACCTGGACTGGAACGGCGCGGAGGAGTCAGAGGCGACCGCTGGCGACACACGTTTTGGGGGGTTTTTTGTTTTGGGGGGTTTTTTTTTGAGTTGGAGTCTCACTCTGTCGCCCCGGCTGGAGTGCCACTGCACGCTCACAGCCACCCCAGGGTAGCCCTGCTGGGCTCCCGTGCTCCTTCTGCCTCCGACTTGGAAGCATCTCAGATTCGCTGCTTTGTCTGAACCTCTTCATTACCTCATCTGTATACTTGAAATTTTAAGTAAAACTTGAGAGTGGCCACTACCCCTGACTTTTGTGAGTTTGATTAGACAATCTGTTTTAGCTCACATTCACAGGAGGAAAAAAAAAAAGAAGCCTATGGCTGCTCTCATTCTTGGAAGAGCAAAAGGAGAAGCAAGATTTATTTACTTATTTTTTCTTAAAGACGCCTTTTTAAAAATGCCCCGGGGAGTCTACGGCCGCCGGAGCCTTCGAGTCGCCTCTTCGCTAGAGTCGCCTCTTCGTGTTTTTGTTGGCTCGGGACGGCCTCTGAGTGTGGGGAGTCCTGGGGGCGGGGGAGGGGCCGGGGTTACCTCGGCTGCTAACGTTCAAAAATTCAAAATGCGGCCGTGGAAAGTAGCATCGCGACCACGTGTCTTCGTGGACTGCCGGCCAGGGGGTCTGCAGCGTGATGAAAGCCTGGTCCTGAAACGAGAGGGTCATCTTCTTTGCGCGGGGCGGGGGGGGGGGGGGTGGGGGGTGGACTGAGACAGCGAATGAGACATTCATTGCACAGCACTGAAAGGAGTTCTCCTGTCTTGAGTTTCACTCTCTTCTTTTCCTTTTGGGACTCTCGCTGCTGTCATCTCTGTACTGCTTCCTCTTTTTTTTTAAATGTTATTTTACTCAGGCAGCGTTACAATCCCATTTCGTAATGACTCAGGAAATGATGGGTGTCTGGCTCTCCAGGAGAAATGGGCATGTAGAGATAGACGTCATCTAGTCCTTAAAACTCCAGAATCTAAGCCTGGCGGGGTGGCTCAGACCTGTCATCCCAGCACTTTGGGAGGCAGAGGCGAGAGGATTGCCTGAGCCCCTGGGTTCGAGGCCAGCTTGGACAACATGGCGAGACCTCATCTATACAATTAAAAAATAAAAATAAATTTGCCGGGCATGGTGGCACAGGCCTGTAGCTCCAGCTACCTGGAAGGCTGAGACGGAAGGATCGCCTGGGCCCAGCAGATGGAGGCCACGGAGGCCATGAGCGTTCCACTGTGTTCCAGCCTGGGCAACAAAGTGAGGCTGACTCAAAAAATAAAAAAAAACTCAGAGATCTGACCTGATTTCCTCTCATTTAATGCCGAATATTAAAAAGGTATATATATTAAAATGTTAAATGCAGAATATTAAAAAGGTATATATTTATACATGATACATTTAAGTTCATACTTTTTTTAAAAAAAGTAAAGTGCTCTTTTAGAAGGTTAGACTGAAGCTGGTTAAGTGCCTTTTGTGCTCTCCCAGCTTCTGTGTCCTATAAATGTCTGCCCTCACCATCCTCTTACCTTCCACTACCCCCCATTCCCATGGGGTTCCCACATGCCCTGAGCACTTAGGGGCAGTGGTCAAACTTCCAAAGTGACAAATAGCAACTTTGAATTCCTGTTCACTTACTGTGCATTGCATTGAGGTGTTAGGCATTCCAAGTACACTGATACTGCACTGTAGACATAAACCCTGGGTAGAATAATGCTTAACGCAATAAATTAAATACAATTAAAGTAGAATTTCTAGCATTAGAGTCTAGCTAATGTTGAAAAGCTGAATTTACCCAGAACCCACAAAGACAATCCTGAGCGGGTTTTTTGTTTGTTTGTTTTGGAGGGCTGGAAGGCTTATTTCTATTGTTTCCCTTGGGTGTTTATCTCTCTACACCTCTCAGTGATTGCCATTTCCTTTAACAGGGTCCAGAAACAGACTAATTTCTGGCATGTAACACATGAATATGTAAAGTCTCAGCATATTTATTCTTGCCAAGTAACCTGGTGTATCTGAAACTTAGTAGCTGAACTCAGGAAGTGTCAGTCAGTCAAGTGTTACGTTAAAGTGGAACATAAAGGTCTCTTTGGCATTTGCTAAAGAAATGTTACTCTATAGGATAGTGTCTATAAAATACAAAGGGAGGCCGGGCGTGGTGGCACATTCCTATAATTCCAGCAATTCGGAAGGATGAGGTGAGAGAATTGCCTGAACCCATGGATTCAAGACCAGCCTGGGCAACTTGGTGAGACTTCATCTCTACAGTGAATCAAAAAATTAGCCGGGTGTGGTGGCACATGCCTGAAGCTCCAGCTATTTGGAAGGTTGAGGGGAAGGATAGCCTGAGATCATCAGGTCGAGGTTGCGGTGGCCATGAGCGTGCCACTGCCCTCTAGCCTGGGTGACAAGAGTGAGACTCCAACTCAAAAATAAATAAATAAAATACAAAGGGAACCCCAAAAAACCAGAATTTTCGGATAGTGTCTATAATATACTAAGGAAACCCAAAAAAAACCAGAATTTTTTTTTTTTTTGGAGGGCAGTCCCCCTGTCATACGCGCTTCCTCTGCTAGGTGTTCTAGGAACCCATTAGCATCAGTTTACCAGCTAGCATTGTTGTGAGAGGATGCATTAGGCTTCAGTAAATTTTTTTTTTAGGTTCTTTCAACATATTTATTTGCCCATTTCATGATCGGTGATTTACAAGCACACTTGCCCACACCACTCTGAGTGTTCAACAGTTTTTCACTAAAAACCAGCATGAACCCCATGCCCCCACCTTCCCTATTCACCTGATCTCATCCCCAAGTGACTTTTTTTGGTTTTCCAATGAAGTCCTCAAAGGAAAATGTTTTGCTGATGTAGAAGAGGTGAAACAAAATGGCAGAAGCACTAAAAATCTTCAATATTGACAAGTTCAAAAACTGTTTCGAGCAGCGGAAAAAGCTTCTTGATAGGTATATAGCATCAAATGGTTTGAAGGTGACTGAAATCTAAACACATAAGAATAAATACAACATTTTTTATAAATAAACTCCAGGGTTTTGTGGGATAACCCCCCCCCCATATAATTGGCCTAAAAGGGCTTAATATGGATTCTCCTTTTAACAGAAAGTATCAATCAACTTTCACAGTTCTGGTATATGAGAGTCACTAAGTTAATACTGTAATTCCAAGACAAAAATTCATATTTTAATCCACTGGAATTATATATTGTAATCATATATTGTAATCCACTGCTTTAATACTATAAGCCTAAATGTTCAATCATAATAACCAAAATGATAACACCAGTAGCAGAACTATTAGACAGGTTTTTATAATAACTTATGAAGACTATTTAACATAGAAAAATATTTATATGTAAAAAAGCACATTCAAATTACATGTTCTCTATAATTACAACTATGTGGTTAAAAAACCTACAAGAACCAGGGGTGGTGGCTCGTACCTGTAATCCCAGCATTTTGGGAGACTGAGACAAGAGGACTGCCTTAGCCCACAGGTTTGAGATCAGCCTGGGCTACATGGCAAGACCTCATCGCTTCAATAAATCAAAAAATTAGCTGGGAGTGGTGGTGTGCACCTGTAGTTCCAGCTACTTGGAAGGCTGGGGCAGGAGGATTGCCTGAGCCCAGCAGGTTGAGGCTGTGGTGGCCATTGCACTCCAGCCTGGGCGCCAGAATGAGACTCTGACTCAAAAAAAAAGAAAGAAAAGAAAAGAAAAACATAGTAAGACGCCCAGCTCTATAAAAAAAAATATTAAAAATAGAAACTACTGTCGCTAACTGTTCTGAGACAGATTTAAATGACATTTCAATCTCTACCAAAACTTCCACACTAGAGTGAAGGAAGACAGATTAGAAGAAGGATGGAAGTAGATGAGAATACCTCAAGAAACTGCCAGGCATGGTTGTTCATGCCTGTAAACCCAGCATTTAGGGAAACCAAGGTGAGAGGACTGGTTCGAGGCCAGCCGGGGCAACATGGCATGACCTCGTCTCTACAATAAATCAAAAAAATTAGCCGGGCATAGTGGCGTGCACCTGTAGTCCCAGCTACTAGGAAAGCTGAGGCGGAAGGATCTCCTGAACCCAGCATGTTGAAGCTGCAGTAGCCATGATCGTACCACTACACTCCAGCCTGGGTGACACAGTGAGATTCCAACTCAAAAGAAAAGAAAGAAAAGAAAAGAAACCACGACATCAGATCATTAGGGCCTTATCTCACCAAATCTAAAAAAAAAATAAACTGGACAAGATCACAAAAAATAATTGGCATAAACAAGTAGCATCACTCCAAAACAATGGAGAAGCAGTATCTTCTTTCTTTTTGAAATTCTCCTGGAAAAATGACTCCTCAGCCTTCTCCAGCATTTCTTCCTGAAAAAATGCCCAAAAGTTTTTTTTGTGAAAATAAAACCTCTTCATAAAAGTCTAACAAGTCATAACTGAAAAGGACTCTCACATACTTAGTTTAAATCCCAACTTGAGTTCCTCATCTATGAAAGGGAGCTAATATCACTGACGCTATTGGATCATCGACACTATTGGTAAAACCCCTGGGATAATAAATAAGCAGTGCTACTCCCCTTACTCTACCTTCCCTCTTCTCTTAGTGTGGAATGCCAGTCCTGCATCATATCAGTGGGCACTTGTCGCAAAGGTTAATTCCATAACTCCCTGAAGCATGGCACCAAATTCAGCATTTTTATCAAATATTGCAAGCAACCCTCAACTACTCTAAAGTTTAAGGATCATTAAAATTATTTTAACATATTTCACTACTTGATCCTCTTCAGACTCCAAAAACAAAAGTCTTCTTTCCCCACAAAATATTTTATAAACTTGAAGGCTTTCTTCAAGGAAAGAAAAGTAAGATCTGGGACCTTCTGTTTTGTTGTTGTTGTTGTTTTAAAGCTTTTTTGGACCCTCTGGGGTTTTTTTTTTTTTTTAATCAATATTTTTTATTATGATTTTGTGGGGTACAGTTAATGGTTAGGTGTACAATTACGTTTCATTCAGGCACCCTGTTGATAAGAGGTGTTTCCCCATCCCCAGACAGATATTTGCGACTGTTAATCCCATCCCCCTCCCCTGAACCCTCTGTTTTAAAGTCCCAATTTTCTGGCCCATTTTCCTAACAGTGTACAGTTTTCATGCTTTAAGTGTCTGTCTCCCTCTCTAAAATCTCCTTCATTATGTTTACTTAGGAAGAACTTAAACTAGATTGCAATCTATCACGGCTCAAAAGAAAAGAAAAAGAAAAGAGTACTTACTACTGGGGAGAGGAAAACCTATTCAGTAAATGGTGCTGGGAAAACTGGTTGACCACATGCAGAAGATTGAAACAGGACCCCTACCTATCACCATACACAAAATTTAACTCTACATGGATCAAAGATGTAAACATAAAACCTCAAACTATAAGAATCTTAGAAAGCGCAGGAGACACCCTTATGGAAATTGGAACTGGCAACAAATTCCTATCCAGAACCCTAAAGGCCAATACCTTAAGAAATAAGACAGACAAGTGGGACTTCATCAAATTAACGAGCTTCTGCAAAGCAAAATAAACCATCAAGAGAGCAGGGAGACACTCCACAGAATGGGAAAAAATATTTGTCAAATGTATATCTGACAAAGGCCTAACATCTAGGATCTACAAGGAACTCAAATGCACTGAAGGGAAAAAAACCAAACTGCCCCTTTAAAAAGCGGACAAAAGACATGAATAGACACTTCTCTAAAGAAGATATACAGGCAGCCAACAGACACATGAAAAAGTGCTCAGCCTCACTCATCATCAGAGAAATGCAAATCAAAACCACACTGAGATACCACCTAACCCCAGTAAGAATGGTCTTCATTAATAAAACAAACAACAACAGATGCTGGTGAGGATGTGGAGAAAAAGGAACGCTTCTACACTGCTGGTAGGAATGCAAACTTGTACAACCTTTCTAGAAAACATTCTGGAAATTTCTGAAAGAACTAGAAATTGACCTTCCATATGACCCAGCAATTCCCCTATTGGGAAAATACCCAAAGGAACTCAAATTATTCTATGAAAAAGATACCTGCACATGTATGTTTGTTGCAGCTCTAGTCACAATAGCAAAAACATGGAACCAACCGTGTTGCCCATTGAAGTTGGACTGGATAAAAAAAATGTGTTACATATACACAATGGAATATTATGCAGTCATAAAGAAGGACAAATATATAGACTTGGCAGCAAACTGGATGGACTTGGAGTCTATCATACTCAGTGATCTATCACAGAAACAACGAAACTGAGTTCCATATGTTCTCACTTATAAGGTGACCTTGAACAATTATAATGCTATAAGAAAGTGATTGGCAGTAGTGGAAAACTGTCAGGGGAGGCAGGGTGGGACTAGCAGTTGAGGGAAATTGCTAGGAGAGAGAGGGGCATACCTCATCAACAAGGGTACCTGCATGATCAATGTTTGTATACCTAACCCTGAATTGTACCCCACATCTTTATAATAAATTAATTATAAAAAAAGAGTACTTAGTGATCTCTAACATACTCATTTAAAATTAATAAGATAAAGTCAAATAAAATTAATAATTGCATTATTTTTAGATAGCCAGTAGAAATAGCAACTTCTTCCAAACATGAGAGAATGTGTGTACCTTATGCCCAAATCAAGAAATAGCTGTCATAGACTTTAGTATCTAATTTTATTAATTTCTGATTCAATTTCAATTTCTAATTTTGATATGTAGTTCAAAAGAGCAACCAAAAGAGAACCACTTGAAATTGATGGAAAAAACTTCCGCAACTTTATAATAACCAATAGCATTCCTTCTTTTTTTTTTTTTTGAGCCTGAATCTCACTGTCACCCAGGCTGGAGTGCAGTGGCACACTCACGGCCACCGCAGCCTTGACCTGCTGAGCTCAGGTGATCCTTTCACCTCAGCCTTCCAAGTAGCTGGAACTACAGGCACCACCATGCCCAGCTAATTTTTTTTATTTTTTATTTACTTATGTATTTATTTATTTATTTATTTTGAGTTGGAGTCTCACTCTGTCACCCAGACTGGAGT